GCTGCATCCAAGCGGGATTTGAAGATCTCCAGAGAAGGAGACTCCACAACCTCCCTGGGCAGCCTGTTGCAGGGCTCTGGCACCCTCACTGTCAAAAAGTGTTTCCTTAAGTTCCTGTGGAACTTCCAATGCTTCAGTTTGAAGCCATTTCCTCTAGTCCTATCGCTGTCCACCACTGAAAAGAGGCCGGCCCCCTCCTCCTCACTGCCTCCCTTGAGGTATTTATACACGCTGATCAGGTCCCCCCTCAGCCTCCTCTTCTCCAGGCTGAACAGRCCCAGCTSTCTCAGCCTTTGCTCATAGGGCAGATGTTCCAGGCCCCTGATCATCCTGGTAGCCCTGCGCTGGACTCTCTCCAGCAGCTCCACATCCCTCTTGTCCTGGGGAGCCCAGAACTGGACGCAGTACTCCAGATGTGGCCTTACCAGGGCTGAGTATAGGGGGATGATCACTTCCTTCGACCTGCTGGAGGTGCTCGCTTAATGCACCCCAGAATGAAGAGCGTCTTCATTAAGATGCTGTTCTTAATGCACCCCAGGATCCCATCGGCCTTCTTGGCCAATGGGCCAATGATTTATACTAATCATTGAAAACAGATCCAGAATAAAATTCATTTCATTTTAATCTCTAACTTGACTCACCTCTTCTCTACTGTTTTTCTGTTAGATGAAATTGAATGTCAAGACCTCATTTAAGCTTTCTACAGTGAAGACGACAGACCTAAACCTCCCTAGAGCAGAGCAAGAAATGGAATTTCTTTTATTCTTCTAGTGTTTAGTAGATGCTTATGATGCAATCATTCTCATTCTAACAGAATAAAGAAACAATCAGTGGAATCTTGGTAGATAATTAAAAAAGAAAATGTCATCTGGAGGATTTATTTTTGAGGAAAAAATGCTAATTTCTGAACTGTCATTTAAGTGATGACACTTATTTCTTTCCTCCAAAAGCTAATGGTCAAATTATGAAACAAAAAATTTAGACATAATGCAGAAGACTCTTAGAGGTTTTATTTTTTGGAGTTACTTTATAAAGTGGTCTGCAAATCAAGAAAAGGCAAGTGCCTAAAGACTCATAGTTATATTATAAGCACTGGGAAAAGAGAGAGTACTATCAGTGCAAGACTTCTTGCAGAGTCAGCTGCTTGCCACCCTACCAGCCAGAGCTACTGTACTCTGTACTGTAAGAAACGTTGTCTTTTGACCTACACCAATGTGCTTTGGATGGAGGATAAGGAGGAAAGCAACATAACCCATCTATGTGGATTTCAGGGAAGAGCATTAAAAAGATGTTCCTGTTAACTATCAGGAGAGCTACGCTGCAGCCACCGCCGGATGAGACCATTTCCAGCAGGCCGCAGGAACGCGCGCTCCGCGCCACACGGCGTGCGGGCCACAGTGTCACCCACCCCGACTGCCATCTCCAACTGAAACCAGCAGGGACACCCTGAACCGCAGACTGGAGTTTAACTCAAACTGACATAATCATCAACCCTTAAGAGCTGGACTTAATTATTTGCAAAAAGTCATCATTTTTTAAACTGAAATTAAAATAACCGACACCTGCTTTTCAAACCAAACCTAGTGCTATTTTCCCATTCACATAGTTGTCATTAATACCCATTGCCAGTAAAGGAAGGGTCTTTAATGAAATACTGTTACTGAAATATCTTTAAACCTGCTTCCCTAGTAACACAGCAACATGCTGAATTTACTGCAAATCCATAGCAATTTATTTCACAGCCATCTGAGAAGAGATTCATAGTTCAATTATCATAACTTTATCGGAAAACTTTCAGTTTTCTCTTCGTGTTTAATTAAGGGACACCGTTCCTTCAAATCTCCATATTTTATACAATGCATGCATTTGTATTTTACACAGTATATGTTCTACTTTACTCCCAGTATTCACCAGAAGGGGGCTTTGATTGTGATGCCTCATTTATTATATTTATTTCTGAAATGATATCAGCAGTACTTGAGGGTAGAAGCCTTTTACTAGGGCCATCATCTTAAATACCAACCTGCTTACATCGTGTTCACTTGCTTCAAGGGCTTTTAAGAAAGTTCTCAAAGAAGGAACAGGGAAAGGGTGAGCCGAGCCCACCATGCACAGGAAGTCATTCCTACAGTGAGAAGCATGCGGATTTGGGCATTTCACAGGCTCCTGATGCTGAAGGGCAGGTTACCACCCCTAGCACGATCCAGCTGGCCTGGGAATGGGAATGCCTCTCTGGCAGACTGGCACTCCTGGGGAGCTCCAGGCCACCAAACTTCAAGGCTTGACTCACAACAGTTCTACTTGCAATCTTGAAATGTAGGCAAATTCTCCTGATTTCCTCCAAAGCAGAACAAATCTACGGTTCTACTGGCAAGTCTGACCTTGATGGCAGGAAGAAGCAGCGACAGGGACAGAAATCTAAGGAACTGCTCAATGGCACTGTCCCTAGCAAGGCGCCAGAAACAGCTCGACAACGGACTTCTTAACAGTCAGAGCTACCACCTTATCTTTCACAAACATATGCTTCCTTGCCATTATTACTGAATAGAATAAAAAACCAGGAGCTGGGAGGTTTTTCTCAATACAATTTAATTGAATCCATAATGCTTCCTTCACAAGTTCCAGGCCTTTGAAAATTGAATATCTTCAGGGGAATGTAACTTGGTTTAGAAACAGAGGAGGGAATTGCAATGACAGTACTGAGCTACTCATAATGGAAGATTATTCTGTTTTCAAGCAAGTTAAATGTAAAAATCTAGTAATCTTACTCTGCATATGCAGTTTTGACCGAAGTCTTCAAATTGTCTTACCAACAAAGATCTGCACAGAAGGCTAATGACTGAAGTCCCTTACTACGTAACGGTTTTATTGACTCTAAGGATTTTTATAAGCAATTTTCTAGCAATTTAATATCAAAAATAAATTTGTGGAAGAGCAAGAGTGGTTGATTTCGAACCATTCTAAAGAAAGCACAAACACAGTTGTAATTGTCTTGCTTACTTTAATTAGATTTAACTGTAAATGCAGTAATCACTTGGAAGAAGCAATGTAGAAAGCACAACACTATAAGACTGAGAGATGTTAAAGAAAAATAGTAGCAGTGATCTGTGTGTTTAAAACTAAGGCTTATGCTGGACTTTAGGTCATCATACTATTTAGATAAACTAGTAATTTCACAAGCAATCTAAACAGGAATTCAACTTGCTTTGGGCGAGGTAGATTGGACCAGATGACCTTGTCAGAGGCCCCTTGCAACAAACTATTCTATGATTTTAAATCACAACTTAAACATTGCAATGCAGGCTTCGGATTAAGGGGCCTAACAAGATGCCTATCAGGTGATCTGAGCTAGCAGAGGCAAGTGATGAAACAGATCACTCAGCAACAACAGATGCAAAAGCAAAACCTGAAGGCCAGCATTAGTGGAAGAAATAATATTGGAATCGACTCCGTATTATTAATAAATTATAAATACAAACACAATTGTTTTTGCCTTTATGAGAAATTGTATTTACTCAAATGGATACCAACCATTAAAGGGATTCAAGTTTCTCATTCTGAAAGCCAACATATACTGTATTACCCTTTTTTATTGTCTATCCATAAAGAATGCTTGACCTTCTGCCTTGTTCTTTTCGGAAACCTGTCTGATTTGGAACTCTTAATCCTACTGAGGATTGTCCTACACATCTAATCCAATTTCACTAGTTAATGGCGCATAACTAGGTGCTACTTTTATGAGCAACTGTCTCAGAATGTATTATTTATACAACTCAAACTCAGTTGGTCACAAAATACACAATACAACTAACAGCTACTGTTTCCATTATTGTATTACTGAAACTTTCATAACCTTGTCCTATTACCACAGTAGGATGGCAAATTGCTGCCAGCTCGTCAGGGTGGTGGCGGGGTGGGAATCAGGGTACTCCCACCTCCTGAAAAGCACATTAAAAGTACGGTTCAGTCAGGCTTTTATGTCTCTTTCATCTTTCATATACCGTAAGTATTAAGAAGGACCTCAATTATTTTATTTATTTATTTACTGCAGATTTTTTTTTACAGCACTTCTGATCCTGACTCTCTCACAATCCTTCCTTCTGTCCCTTGGGAAGATCCATTACATTGGGCAATAGAATCTAATTCAAAATATTACTCTTCCAATTAGTTGGGTGAACACAGAATTACATGCATTTTCCATTGGTTTCATCTGCTTCAAGGAAGGAATAATTTGTAATACTGGACAACAGTTCCCATCAGACTCCTTTGGGAATTGCAGTCATTTGATCAAACTGAGGTGGGTGCAGGCTTAGATGCTAACACCCAGAAGCACTAAGTGAGAAAAGCTTCAAAAGCTCGCTATTTAATAATGCAGTGACATTATTTTCCTCAGATATGTTTTCCTAGGGTAAACACAACAAGCTAAATGATACCAGCCACTAATAAGCAGCTCAAAACAGCTATATAGTTAAGGGAAAGATTTTATACTATCCTTCATCTCAGCACTGCAGTTCATATTCATTCAAAGAACAGCGAGCAAAGCAACAATCTGGTCTGATAACAAGGATTCTAACTAAAGCTGTGTTCATGTTTGCAGCAAAACTCAAAACCACGAGACACTCTCTGTGTTTTGGATTTCATTACAAACTCAGCTCATGCTCACTGAAAGTCCTGCCAGGAGCCTAAAACCTTTCAAGTAAGTGCAAGATCAATACTGTGCTAACAGAAATATATTTAATGGTTTTACTTCAAAAAGCGCACAAAACCCTCCCACACTGGTTTGCAGCAGAGAGAGGCTGTTTCAGGCATCCTGAGAAATCAGGCATGAAGCCCTTTTGTGGGTCGTATTTCAGCTAGATTTGAAAAACAAATAGTTGAATGAATTCAGATAAGCTTCGGGATTTTCAAACACCCATTTTAATTTCTGAGGCTCTTTCCATCAAGCACTTGAATGGTAATGACCATTTTTAATACAGATATAGTTGACAGACTGGGGAGAAGGATGGACTGGGGAGAAGGATGAAATACTCAGGCTCCCGTGCCTAAGGCATTGAACGACAGTTCTCTGTCTTGACGCGAAGCTCCCAACCTTCCGGCAAGGTCAGCAGGACTGGGGGCGCAGCTAAAGTGCCTCGATTGGGCACCACGCAGGTAGCACAGGTCACAAATAGGAGAGAAAAAATTATCAGGAGAATTAGGGACTGAGCCAAATAAGTTCAAACTGGCATGGGAGAGTGCAAGTTAAAAGAGAAATTTCTTCTTTAACAAAGGAATGATTTAAAGTCATTGCAATTCAATTTGACCTACAAATCTTCATTTCTAATTATAGACAAAACATGGATAGAGCTACATAAAAATATGCTCTACATTGTATCAGAAAAATGAGAAAATGGAACTACTATTTTGATGCAACACATGCACATGTTGTTTCTATTATACCAATAGCACTTTTGGATTTATTATTTTACTTAATAGAAAAATTCAAGCCCAGCTGAGAAGAGTCCATAATCCCTAAACAACCAATTGTCTATACAGTCCCTTTAGAGATTTAATCAGTAGAAATTAAGTATGATTCTTACTTTTAGCATCTCGTGTATATCAAGATTTCCAGTTGTCTTTCTGCACGCTGTTAGAATGTTAAATAACTGCTTCGAAGACACTCTCCTTTCTATTTTCAGTTAGTTTGTTATTAACATAAGGGGAAAACAAGCAAAAGAATTAGGGTATTATCATAGAGAACTGGCAAAAACAGTAGAAATAATAATAATAATAATAGAACAGCTTTAAAGCCCAAATCTGTAAAAATTACACTGATTCAGCCCTTCACTTGGAAGCTACTAAAACTAAGTTAAAAATGAAACCTATTTCTCCACATCAACTTGTTGACTAAGTCTCTTTACTCCTCAAAGATGCAGACCTGTGCTCGTGCTCTGTCCAGCTGGAATAACTGATTTCTAGAGGGAAACACATTTATTTAAATCCACTCATTATGCAAGCTTTGGGGTTTTATTTTATTTTATTTTTTTTTTGTATGTTTTCTGTAGAACATTCACAGAACATTCTTGTTCATTACTTTCTCTTCTCATACGAGAAGGTTTTTGAATCCTTTTTCGGCAATTTGGCAACTACAATACAAGGATGAGGCTTAAAAAGGAACCGCGAGGATGCCAGAAAGCAGATGCCATAAATCAAATAAGGGCTCAGACAATACTGGCATTGAGAGCTACAGTCTGTAATAAACTTGTTTTTGCATAGCTGTGCTTCTTTTAGAGCAATCTGAAATCTTGTTCCAGTTAATTTCCCTGTAGAATTAAATTTAACAATCCTATTTAACAATCCTTCTTAAATCTAATAAAAATTATGACAGTGAAGCATCTCACTTGCAACAAGCTATTTTAGCTTTAAAAGAGAAAATACAGTAGTTTACAATGCAGAATTCTTCTGAAAAATATCTTTTATATTTACATTTCTACTTTGCAGCATACTTGCTATAAAAAGCAGAGGGGATGGGTTTTTAATGTAGTCCACAACCAAATATATTTTTTCAGTTTGGTTTACTGTTATTGGATAAGTGGTCCCTCATTTTTACCATATTCAGAATTTGGATTCTTGATGAATTATGGAAGAGCACAATTGCTCTGATGGCATCTTTTCCAATTACGGTCTCTATAGAGATGCCAGTTTAACAAATATATTCAATAACATTTAGAGTCTTAGGAATACTGACTCATATTTCAATATAAAGTACAATGTATGCTTTGTCCTTGAACATTAAATGTCATCACATTCACTTATAGGAATGTGCTACAAGGCTAATAAACAAGTGAAAGAGCAAGCTCACCATGCATTCAGAGAAGCAATTAGCTTCCAGCAAACTGTACTGCTGCACGAGAGCTAGCCAGGAAATGCAGTGATGTTAACTTGCCTTACAATCCAACTGTGCTTTTGAGTTTCACAGGAAGTGCTTCTTACCTGGCAAGCAGGTACCAAATCTTCTTCTTCTCCATCTAAAATTTCAGTATTTATACAAAAAGCCAAAATAAAGGCCACTCTGGTAACAGAGCAAAGAGATTTCAAGAAAAATAAAATGACAATGAAAAGACAAGAAGCAAGTGCTTTGCTGACAAAAACAGAAAAGCATGTAGACCTTTTAGCCCTGATTTTGCTAAAGGTTTCAGAAATTTCTCAAAGGTCCACGACAGGCATCAACATTTGTACATCAAGAACAGGCAAACTCCATTTAGCCACTCATTCCCAAGCAGCCTTTTGAATCTGAGCAATTCCCAAGCCCTTACTACCAAACCCAGACCTTCTCTCCAGGCTGCTTTTTATCCAGAGGCACGTGGTAGCAGTGCACGGCTGCCTAAACTTTGCTAGTGGAAGGAATTTAAAGAAGGAGTCCTAAAAAAGAGCCATGGGCTGGCTCTTGGTGTTAAGGGGCTTATATGTCAACAAGCAGTCTGGGTGGACTTGGTTAGTACACGCACAAGTCTGATTTTCACAACCAGAAGAAAGGCAAGACCAAAATCCAGTAACCAGCCATTTATAGGGAACAGAGAGACACAGCTATCTAGGGACTCACATAATCAGCTGTTAATTGACTCACCCTTGTTACCATTAATTGAGGCTTTCCTTTTATACCTAAACTGTTTATTGAGCTATTTACTCTTTGTTATTTGTGTGGTAATGTCTGAATGTTTTATTACAAAGCATTTAACCATATTTTATTTGTTATGTTTTCAGACTTTGGTAATGAATATTGCATCTCCAATAGGTGTTAACGGAGCAAATTTGCTCAAGTCATTATTTTGCATGCCTGTGGATAGTAAGTCTGCATAGGGTGATCTAAGGAACGGCCTCAACTGTGACCCCAATTATCCTGGAGGTAACTACAAATACTTGCACATCTGAAACATACTCAATTTCCAGTTAAAAAGAAAGAAAGAAAAACCTACTTCACATGAATAAGTCATTCTTTTTTCACCCTTGACATTTAAAATATGAAGAAGCAAAGTCTTTGATTTCGCCAAAATAAAATGCAAGTCATACGCAACTTGGCAGTGTGATGAAATTGATTCCCACCTGTGCAAACGACTACAGCAATTTGTTCATTCCTCATTACCAAGCTCTCCTTTGGGCACATGTGCCTTATTTCACCTTAAAAAGACTCGCCAAGTGCTGTGCACGTGGAAGTGCCTCTGCCTGGCGTGCACACTGCCTTTCTTACAGGAGCTCAACCGCAAGGCTGACAGGCAAGCGGGCAGCCATGACATTTGCTTATTTATGACAGGTGAGCAGAGGGGACATCAGTCCAGAGCTCGGCAGTACCACGGGAATTATCTTTACGGAAGGTTGTTTTGTATACTGGTATCCAAAGCCAAGAATCACCTGGGGTAGTGTGACAGATGTCAGGCTTTAGACACTTCACAGAATGGTATTGATACCTGCTATATGCTATAGATGTTCCAAAGGAAGAGTTGTACCTATTTTATTCGTGTTAAATTTATTTGAGTCCAAGTCAGTTAAGTCAGGTAAACAAGCCCAACAGACTCTCTTCCTCCAAGTAAACTAGAAAGTGCTTTTTTGTTCTGGCTCAGGAAAACCCACCAAAATGACACTGAGGAGGATGAAAGGAAGGGTCCTCATCTGGAGTCACCCAGGTATATTCAGATACATAAGCATTGCAATTACTGCTTTAAAAAAGCTAACACCTCTAACAGTAGCAATCAAACCACCAGAACATGAAACTCAGCTGCTGTTGGCAGCAACTTCCCTCTTTGCCTTTTTATCTCACCTAAATAAGCAAATACCAGGATCACACTGAGGTCTTTGCAGACTAAATTAGACTATTGGATCAACCCAGACTACTTCCAGGGCAGCTCATATTTTGCAGTACTAAAACTGCAGCGACCTCCTGTGGGATTGAAGCCTGACATGCTTATGTGTGAATCCAAATTTCATGCACCTGATGGATAATTCCTGGCTAGAGAGCCATCTTACTGTTTTATTTTGTTTCCTCAGTAATACTTCTGCCCTAAAATAAGGGATGTGGTGCTGACATTCAGGCATTATGATCACTGAGTTGAAGGTAAGAAATGGTAGGATCTAAAGAAAATGGTTATGCCATAACATCCTCAGTGAAAGATGCTGTGTGGGTACAAAAGGTGAGTGGATAAATACTAAAAGCATGGTTAAGTCTCAGATTGTTACCTGTAATCCCAGGGATGCAGACCACTCACTCAGAAGTGCACGGCCTACAAGAGAGACTACAAGATACTAGAAAAATACCACAAACTGCAAAACTCCTGGGCTGTCCTTACACAATTAAATACTGTTTTTATCCATGGAGGTCATCATCTTCACAGACAAACAGAAATGCCTGAGCAGGTGACAGACTCCAAAGCGGGACATTGCCAAGGTGTAACACCCTACTGACACGTGCAGCCCAACAGGGGCAACAGAACTGAGGTTCAGCAGAATCACTCACTGGCAAAGCAGAAAAGAAAAACGTAAAGCTTGGGGTTCACATATTACCCTCTTTATGTGGCTTTGCCTGGAGAAAAGCTCTAAGAGTGCAGTCCCTATCTCTATGCTGTGTGCCTTTTATAACATCTTTTCTCTCAGGATGGTGCACTCCTCCTTCTGCCTTTCCATAAGGATACAAAAATCACACTGCTTGACATGCTGCATATTTTTTAAAGGATGTATTTTTAGTACTTTGAGCCATTTGGCCTTGTTTCCTATTTATTTGGAACTTGCTCACACTCGGGTATGTGCCATGTGCCATCTGGCACATGATTAGGCCCTTGCAATTTCATTCACAAGTTTAAAGCAAAAGCTATCACATGCAATGCAGGTTATGAAATATTTGGCATCTTTCACGATAGTAGTAGTATGAGGTATACGCATAACCCCCAAACAATAAAGATAGGTTTATTTTTCTTTTATCAGATTTTCTGTTCAGTCATAAAACACTTTTGAAAATAGCATTTGCCATGTACAATAGTAATGAGCCATGACAGAGCTCATATGTTGGAAACATCCCTCAGGAGGAAGCAATAACTGCCCTCCGGAACTTTACAAAAGACTACTGAGAGCACTTCTACAACATTAACAATATCAACTTACTCAATATATTGGTGGCAAACACGAACTTCTGTTCAAAACACTATAAGAAGATGCATTTTTGCTCGGCTAATGTTCCAGACCTACTGAAAACCAACTGAATATACTTAATATACTGCATAGCATAGATTGAGATTGCCTATGAGGAGGACATACTAGCTCCTTCTCAACAGCATACATTCAATCCTCACATCATTTCCAGTTAGCTCAGAGCACAGAAAGGGTTTGCTTTTGTCCATACCAATTTTTACATGGATAGGAAACACCACACGGATCTATCCAGCCAAATAACCTCTCTTTGGCAGTGCTCAGGTGAGCAATGATACTTCTCCAGAACATTCCTGCGACCTTCAGAAAGCTGCTGATCAGAGATTTCCCGCACCAGCAGTGCTGGCTTTGGTTTTTAATAGCTCTCAGTGGGAATAAAGAGAAAAAAATGCAATTGCTTTTCGGAATCTGTCAAATTTTATCACCCACAGCATCTCCTGATGTGGAGCCACAGACCGTGTCCGTAAGCACTTCTTTTTCTGTTTTGAAGCAACAAGCTGCTAATTTCATTTGATGTCTCCTACTCGCTGTACTGGAAGGAACCACAACCAACCAATTCCCTCCCACCCTTCAATGACGCTCCTGACTTTAAGGAGGTCTGTCCTATCAAACCCATGTTCCGACCCTCGTCGCTTTTATTGCTCCTCGTACAGAAGGTACCCATGACTCTGGTCACCTTTGTCACCAGTCCCTGAGCATTACAACTGCCTGCTGTTTTCAAGATAGGGCAACACTTCAGCTTTCTCTGAAATGCGTAATGCTGTTCTCTGATGTGTTCTCTCTGCCTTTCCTAATTAATCACAACAGTCAACTACTTTTCTAACCACTACAGAGTACCGATCTGACATTTTCTACTGTAACCTCAAGACCTCGCTCCTAAATGGCAAGTCAGCTCAGAGCCCATCATTTAATATGTAAAGTTCAAGATTGCTTTTTCTCATGTGCCTGGTTCAACTCTTTCCTACGTCAGATTTTATCCGAGTTTATTACCTAGTCAAACTCTTAAGATCCTCCTGCTGCTCTTCACTGCCAGGTCCTGAATGACTTCCCTACCCAGTGCCGGTAGCAAACTTGGGATCTCACAACTCACCCAGCTTTTCAAATATGTTTTCAGTGTACGTGTAAAAAGGTCAGTGCAAAATTCTGCTGGGGCTCCACAAGAGATTTCCTTCCACGCTGGCCACAGACCACATTCACCTGTAGTTCCTCTCCGACCTGTTAGTTGTGCAAGGCTGTGTGTATTAGTGCTTATCACTTACATAGTGACACCACTGGTAGCATCTGTGAGGCCCAGTCATGATGTGCTTTGTGCTCGCTGCCATCTCCATCCAAACACACCAGAAATGTTCAGTCTCTTCAGAGAGACTTTTTTTTATATTAAAAATAATATTTTTATTCCTAAATACCTACACATACAAACAAATGAGGCATTCACATTCTGCAATAACACAAAAACTCTCTAATCAAAAGATGGTGTCATTACTCTGTCTTGACATTGGACAGCATTCCCGCATGGTGCAAACTTAGATTAAAAAAAGGGGGGAGGGGTGGATAACAAGATATAAGAAAGCTTTTTTTTTTTGCCTTTTTTTTTTTTTAAAGCATGGAACCAATATATGGAACCAAACACATATCTATTGCTGTTTATCCTGCACAAGCCATTTCTCAAATGAGGTTCTATTTAATATTTATGGGTTTCAAATGGATAAATGCTACAATGAACTAGAGGGCAACCATGTTATTCTCAGCTTGAAAGTTGTTTCCATTCATGTAATACAGCCTCTGCTAACTCCACATTGGCATATGCTGTTTTTCCACCAGCAATGAATCAAGGAAAACCATCGCTTAGAGAAAGAAAAGAAGA